GCAGTGCCGCCAAAATGACAACATATTGAGCCACAATATGTTAAATAAAAAAAAAACTGAGCATTTGCTATAAATTGAATACAAATTCTTGTTTTATCTAAAGATTTAAAGGCTGTCATGATATTCTAAATAATACTCATTTAAACAAACTTGTTCTCCATATTCTCATGGAATATGCTCATATTTTAATCAGTATGGTAAAAACGAACCCAGACTGTTTTCTAGAACCCAAAGTCATTTACTGTTGCAATTTTATATGATAATTCTTTTCTTTTTCAAAACATTGACATGACTATTCTGTGGCGTGTTCATTCATTTTTTCATTCATGTGTTCATGTTATGAAATTCTGGTAGCAACACTTCCAAATAGGAAGAAACCCTAACAAATCCATCAAGTTTGTGTATAACAAGTCAGATTGAAAGCTACCTTCTCATTGGTCGAGACTTTATGGCTCATTAGCATAAAAAACACAAAAAGAAAATCATTGTGCTTGCAGAAGAGGGTGCAGTAGCAGAATAGACCTGTTGTGGCAATTGTGGATATTTTACAAATTCATTTTTGTAATTATCAAATAAAAAACAATAAAATTGCTCAGATTCACAGATTATACTTTTATATATATATATCTCTTGATTAGTATTTATTGAGTGATTTTTTTTAATCGGTTAAGCGTAATGTACATTATGTTTACATAATTGGTAGAAGAATTACTTATCTATCCAACTATTCAAAAGCTAATTATTAAATGGTAATATTATTTAAAATAACTGAATTACAACTGGACGGAAAAGGCCAAAAGCGAAAGTTGACAGTTTTATAAAGACGACAATCACAATCATTTTCCTAATAAATTTATTCATGGTTTTTGAGCGCTTCAGCCATCATCTTGCATGTGTTCACATGTTGTGCAAACAAGTATATTACACACGTTGTATCGAACACAATGCATAAGACTGTGGCACATTAACAGAACAGTTGAGCCCTTAACTGTTGAGTGACAGACTTTCATTAGTCAGAGAAAATTAGGATGCAGTTGCCACGGTTACCATCAAATCATAATCAAAAAAAATTTACTGTATTTGTGATAGATATTTGAAGTGTTCAGCTTCTATGTTATACAGCAACAAAAATGATGCACTTAGATCTGTTACCAAGACAACGAGGAAGAGAAGTAAAACAAATCTTTTTCATCTCCAGTTTCCTATTTAAGAGGTATTATCATTAATGATCCACCAGTCTAGCCTCATCGTTAACATAGACAAGAGATCTACTACAGTACTTTCCATCCAGATCATTAAAAGTTCAATATATGTTAGAAAAGTATATTTCACATAAATACCTTAGTGCACCTGCCTAAAAGAAGAAGAAGTCAGGGACGGGAAAAAGAGCCAAATCAGGGACGGGGAAAAAGAGCCAAATCAGGGACGAGGAAAAAGAGCCAAGTCAGGGACAGGGGAAAAGAGCCAAATCAGGGACGGGGGGAAAAGAGCCAAGTCAGGGACGGGGAAAAAGAGCCAAGTCAGGGACGGGGAAAAAGAGCCAAGTCAGGGACGGGGGAAAAAGAACCAAATCAGAGACGGGGAAAAAGAGCCAAATCAGGGACGGAGAAAAAGAGCCAAATCAGGGACGGTGGAAAAAGAGCCAAGTCAGGGACGGGGAAAAAGAGCCAAATCATGGACGGGGAAAAATAGCCAAATCAGAGACGAGGGAAAAAGAGCCAAATCAGGGAGGGGGAAAAAGAGCCAAATCAGAGACGGGGGGAAAAGAGCCAAATCAGGGACAGGGAAAAAGAGCCAAAACAGGGACGGGGGAAAAAGAGCCAAGTCAGGGACGGGGGAAAAAGAGCCAAGTCAGGGACGGGGGAAAAAGAGCCAAGTCAGGGACGGGGAAAAAGAGCCAAGTCAGGGACGAGGAAAAAGAGCCAAGTCAGGGACGGGGGAAAAGAGCCAAATCAGGGATGGGGAAAAAAGCCAAATCAGGGATGGGGAAAAAGAGCCAAGTCAGAGACGGGGAAAAAGAGCCAAGTCAGGGACGGGGAAAAAGAGCCAAGTCAGGGACGGGGAAAAAGAGCCAAGTCAGGGACGAGGAAAAAGAGCCAAATCAGGGACGGGGAAAAAAGAGCCAAATCAGAGACAGGGAAAAAGAGCCAAGTCAGGGATGGGAAAAAGAGCCAAATCAGGGACGGGGAAAAAGAGCCAAGTCAGGGACGGGGGAAAAGAGCCAAGTCAGGGACGGGGGAAAACGAGCCAAGCCAAGGATGGGAAAAAGAGCCAAATCAGGGACAGGGTAAAAGAGCCAAGTCAGGGACGGTGGAAAAAGAGCCAAGTCAGGGACGGGGGAAAAAAGAGCCAAATCAGGGACGGGGAAAAAGAGCCAAATCAGGGACGGGGAAAAAGGGCCAAATCAGGGACGGGGAAAAAGAGCCAAATCAGGGACGGGGAAAAAGAGCCAAATCAGGAACGGGGAAAAAGAGCCAAATCAGGGACGGGGAAAAAGAGCCAAGTCAGGGACGGGGAAATAGCAAATAAGAATAAGAATAATGCATACGGTCACTGGTAGCATAGTTGTTGTAGCATCAGACTCATGATCAGTAGACCCAAGTTCAAATCCTACCTTAGGCTGAACATCAAAAGGGTTGACCCCTACCCTGGGCGAGTGTGCCACAGACTCAATGGGAAGGCCAATCCACTGGCCGAGATTCATTCACTAATGAATGCGACTTTGGGGGAACCATGGTTAAGGTCCGCAGATGCTTGTGTTTGACCGAATCTGCTTGACGCCAGGATAGCGCATTAAATTGCCATTTTTTGATAGGAAGATGGCCGCACAGCCCTGTCATGTAGTCCCAAACAGGAAATGACTTCTGTGGCAAAATGCACTATGTGTCAGCACTAGCAGTTGCAAAAAAAAAAAAAAAAAGTCAGGAGAGACAACAGTGACATTCAAAGTCCAACACTCTCGCCTGGCACAAAAACTTTAAAAAAAAAAATAATGTTCATTATTTACCAGAGCATGTAAAACTCGGGAACATGGTTGGACTACTACATGTATAAGTTAAACATCAAAATTAACAGTAATTAACATACAACAAAGCAGTAATACTGATTCACAGATTTGGATGGAAAGGAAAAGCAACTAACTGACCAAATCATATTTAATGGTTTAATGCTTTGTCAATACATCTTTTCAATAAGTCACACTCCTCAAGCAACAATGCACTTCAGTGACTTCAAAAGTACAAGAAAATATACAACTATGTAGTCGTTACTTAGAATATAGTAAATCTCTCAAAAACTAGCAAATATGGATAAAATGAAAATCATCCCTTACAACGATTCACAGCATAGAAGCATTTAGACACTGGAAGTACATGTATATAGATATAATGAAGTGTGTATTTCTCATTATTGAGACACACCGAGAAGAGAAACGAATGTAATTGTTATCCTGCAATGAATGTACACTAAATATGGAATAATCTCAAATTGCCACAGTAGCTCAACAAACATAAAAAAATCTCATATAATATAATATAAATGAAAAAATCTTTCCCCATATAATATTACCGTAAAATCTGTATTAGAAGCTGCATCCCTAATAGAAGTCGCACCAATTCTTTCTGAGTAATTGAGAATCAAAAATTCACCATTTCTCATATGGGTAGATGCTCTAATAGAAGCTGAATTCCCTCTGTTGCAATATACCATTTTAATAGAAGACAACTTCTAATACAGATTTTACAGTATTTAAAAGCAAATTTCCAATAGAAGAGTACATAAACCGAAAATTGCAGATGTTCCATAGAACAATATCCGTAATTTACACAAGTGCATTATTGAAAGACGCATGATTTTTGTTTTGTTTTAGATCAACTGGAAAAGACGGGCACGATTCTGCAGTGTGAAATACAGATTCAGCAATTGAAAAAAAAAAATGAAAAAAAATAAATGTAGTTTTATTTGAGGATTTAGGACCATCCCTTGGTAAAAAACACCATGAAAAAATGGATGGATGACCACAGGTGATTACAAATTACCTTACATAATGATTTTTTAAAAAAAAGGTCTGCATTAGGTATTCTAAAAATACAATGAGGCACGAGTTATTGTAACTGTCACAAAGTAATGCACTTCCCCCTAGATTCAGGCACATTCTGATTACTATACTAATAAAAAAAGTCTCTTTCTATAACTATATATATTAAAATATCTTGTTTATTATTGTAGTGCAGACAAAAATCTAATCGTTAAAAAAAACTCATTTACCAATGCCTGAAGATAACTTTCTTGCTCAGTGTCAATATATTTTTTAATTATAATGCTGTTAATAAGAATAAAATATCATTGAAGTAAATGAGTAATTATTAATTTAACTGGTTAGCGATATGCACATGTCATTGATAGTCCTTCAGTGGATTTCAGTTTTGAATAACAGCAACCCACGCCATTGAACTATTATGTCAGAATAGTAGCACTAATTCCTAAAATAATTAATTAATTTATTTTTTAAAAAGTTTCTCATCTTTGATATTCTTAACAAATGATTACTAAGTTATGTGTAAATTCGATTAGGCACATATTTCTGCTTTTTACTGCTAAACTTCTATGGTAATTTTATCCTTGTTGTACTGTCATGGTGTTGCTATTTGAGGCTTTTTTGTCATTGTTGCCAACATAACCATCGTTGTTGCCGTCGTCGTCATAGCATTCTTCTACATGTAGCCGTAACACACCTTTGTAATGCAGCTTAATAAGCTGCACAAACTCCGATGGGAAATCGTGGTATTTTTTGTAAGTAGACCACAGCAAGTTTTCAGTATAATGCATAGGTAAGTTCGTACCTTTGTAGTTGAAGGTAAACGGCCAGAAACCGTAGAGATGAATTTCATCGCAGAGAGAAATCGCTATGCTTGTCAGAGTCATTCCTGTTGATATGCTTCGTTGAGTCAAGTTCAAATACTGCTGTATCAGTTGCGAATGTTTTGAATTAAACAACATGACTTTTGACTTGGTAGTTTCTTGAACAAGTTGAAGTATTTCAAAAGCCAGATTGCTGACTTTACTGTTCGGGATCCACAGAAGATAACTGCTCCCATACTTCTCCAAAGCAGTGATAAATTTAGTTATATTTAAATTTGTAAAATTCAAAACGAATTTTTCATTCTCTAATAATCGATAGGTGGTCATCAAAGACTGAGAAACAGTTGTGAAATTGACTTTACTGCCCGCATCTGCTTCAAAACCTTCAAGTGGCTGCATGTTCGATCTCAGCACAAAGTCATATTCATCTATCTCGGGGCCGCAACTGCTGTTTCTCAATATTCCACCGTTCCCGACAACAGCACAAGTTTTATATCTTTTATTGCTGGCAAAAGGTGATCTTTCCGGTAATAGTCGTCGCTTGGCGTCATCAACAACTATTGATTTGTTAAAAAATGTATCATTGTATAGCGAACCAAGAGGCGTATTTTCCTGGGAAGAGATAAACTCAGTTCCATTCAAGTATTTATCAATTTGGTACTGTAACTCCATTACTTTTGTTATGTTTGGATGCCACACTCGTAATTTTGACACTAATCGGGCCATTCTCTTTTGTAACACAAGCCTTCTGTTAGTTTTTGCAGGTTTAGCTTCTTTTTTGTTAATGTTCAAATCTGCTATCACTGGATGTTTAAATTTCATTTTCAATGACGCAGCACCTTTAAATAGACCACCAGCAAATGGTTGAACATCGCGTTTAACCGTAGCATTGGCTGGATTAGAGAACACGTACACGTTCATCAGAAAGATCATTGTAGTGCAGAAGAAGCATACTGTTACAAACCAGAACAATGGCGATCGACGAATACGAAGTATAAAGTTACGATGCGATTTCCCCATGTCGTATAAAAATACAATGCAGATAGCATCAAGAGGCAACAGTACTAGTCAGCAAAAGACGAATAGACAGCGAGTTCATCCCATTAATAAAAAGTTCAAGCATAATGCTCAGCTCATCTGAAAAAAAAAATTGAAATAATGATATACAATAATATGAATACGGTACCACTAAAACAACAAGTCATGTTAATGTCACAGTTGCAATCAGAGGGAAATGTTATTCATGCCAATGATAAAGTAATATGATCAAAAATCAAGATGGCTGCAAGTCTGTTTTATCTGATCATAAATTGAATTGTTATGGATATGTATTGCTACAGGCATAATATATGCAATCAAGTTGGATATGCAAATCACCAGATCAGGTAAATTGTTTCTGAATTGATTTGTAGTGTATGGGAAGTAACTGAGAGTGAATAATAGACTAATCTAGAATTAGCAAAAATCAGATTTATTAACTGACTTCTAAATTTGCAATCTTTAAATTGTGGGCTGGTGACAGTCTTTTTTATTCAATTAGTGTAAATGATGGAGTACTTTTTGTTGCTCTCAATTATTTAAAAAAAATTGGTTTTTTAAAGAGGCAAAAAATGTAAATTCTTATTTAACAATGGGAAAAATATTAGGACAAGTTTCTCAAAATACATCACTGTAACACATAAATGCTTCTACCTTAAGCTACATACATTTCATTAGCCGAGAATAAGGGCCAGGTACCAAACACTCCACTGGTAGTGTAAGTGTCGGCAAGCAAACACACATTCACACATTAAATCTACATAAAAATAGTGACATGAATCCGGTTCTTACATAATTTATGAAGCCTGATGACGTGAAAATATATCAAAAATTTTTTGATCAAGGCAACAAATACTAACAACTCTCGTTAATAAAAACGAGTGAAGTATATTTGCAAACAAGATGAAAAATTACCGGTAAACAAATATATGGTATATATGTATGAGAAATGGTACAATATAAAATAAAATGGCTGCATGGCACCCACACAGATTTGGATAATCAAAATCTCGGTTTGCAGACTTTACTAACAGCAATGTAATATATGGACATGGCGGCAAATATCAGCTTCCCTCAGACATAAGCCATCAAGTTTAATTGTTATTCTCTGACCACTTTTTCACTTAATTATCTATTCAAACATTAAAATAAGAACCATTATCCATCCATTACATAATAAGCTTGTCAAAGAAACGCATCAATTGTCGATAGAAACCTGGTTATTGGTAGATTTAACATGTATGTTAAATAGATTCTATAGCAGCCTATGGTTAATGAGATGTCGTTAGTTCTGATAAAAGAGTAGCAAATTAATTGTGCACAGCAAGCGAATGGCGTAATAATTCATACAGAAACCTTCTTAATTGATCAAACCTTTCAGAATTTCACAATTTAAAAATTACAGAACCAACAGAAAAACAATTTTAAAGTAAAAGAGAAACACAAGCGTAAACATATATTGTAATTCTTCTTGCAGTTTTATTGTATTCAAAAGGGGATATTTGAATGTAATTGTCAGACATGTTACATGTACATGTTATCTCCAAGTGCCACTCCGATTTTACAACTACAACGTACGACAGAGCATTTGTCACAGGATCAACAGCAATTTCGAAATTTACAAGAAAAAACAGCAACAGTGTACATTTCACTAAACATTGGGTTCACTCTATTACCATTTATAATATGTTTTTACGTTGGCAGCATTAATTGTTCATTATATTGTTTAACTTTGTTTTCTGAAATTTATCTTGATTAGCATGTTACATTATACATCTGATACTAGAAACAATAGAATTCATCTGTCTGTAAAACACTGTATGAAAGTGTTACAAATGCATTTGAATCTATTCCTTAGTTGGAAAATGTGCATCGCGTCGCGCCACGCCACGTTTGCATCACCTACAAACATGTTTCTGAGATGGAATCATGTCACTGAACACGCTTTACTGACATGCAGGTTATCAGAAGAATATCGCAAAATATGCACTCAGGCAGTTCAGGATCACACCAACCTTCATTATGTGTTGGTTGATATGATCACGGTACTGCCTTGGAACAGTATTCTCATATTAATATCACAGTATTGCGTCAAAATTAAAAATTACTGTTGTGAGGCTATACTGGAATATGCGTTGATTTTTCTGCATGGTCCCAAATTTGTATCATCAGACAAACACATTACTAGTACGTACATGTAGAGACGTAATGTTGCAACTTTATTTCAAAATGGCTTAAGTATTACGAACTGACCATAATTAACGGTTTAAAAGTTGTCACCTGGCAACTGCTCACTGATTCTTTACTGAGAAACTGTTGATAACATGTTCAAATTATGTGATTTCATTTGGCTGCCAGACAGACAGACAGTTGAATTTCATAAAAATCTAAAAATAACTGAAAAGAACATGCAAGCCATTATGTCTTGCCTTCATACAATGTACCAATCTGAAACAAAAACTTTATAGGGTGTATCTGAGAAACGAGTAAATAAAAACATGGCCAAAACTTAGTCAATTTAAATCAAACTGTAAAACAAAATTATGTGCATCATTAACCCCATCTCGAGTAATGCCAATACCAAATTTGAATGAAATTTACCTGTAAATGATTGATTTGAGGTGTGTTTTTGACTAATAACAGCCAATGCTTTTAATTTTTGCACTTTGAACACAAGTATAGACAACTCTAACTTCCCCTGTTAATTTTTGTTATTTTTATCAGCAAAATAAGTCTTTCATAGTCATTTATTTTTATCATGTGCCAGTAAATCAAAACCTTTGTTCATGGTATGGAGAATTTTCTGAGGGTATTTTGTCTCACCTTTCTCACATTCTCTTCAGTTTGGTTTGTAAAATATCACAAGAGCGTTTTTTTTCTGGAAAACTAATTTAAATCATTTTCGTTGGATAGAAACATTTGTTTCCAGATGGGACCAAATTTCTGTATGTGTATTGGTGGTTTATTGAACTATTTTAATATGATTTTCATCATTTGGCATTTCATATATGTAGATGAGTTTCAATTTATCAAATTATGTATTCCATAATTACAGTGAGATGACAACCAGACACATACTAGTAGTAGAAATCATGCATAATAATTAAAGTACACACTAACAGTAGGTCAGAGTTCAGGCTTAATGCGTTACATGATTTCTAGTTGTGTAAATGCCAGTAGAAAGCAAAGCATTGAGCAAGAATATAACGCAGCTACACATGAATTTAGAAACGTGTAAAGTAGAAATATTATGTCCAACAAAATAGGGTTTAAAAAATAAACCAGTGAGAAAAACATAGACAAACCTTTAGAGGTCTATAGACCATTGCACTTGTTTATGTTTTGCGTGTACACAGTGACAGGCTGGCAAGAACCCGTAGTTCGCATTAAATAACAGCATTGTTTGTAGATGTCAATATTAAATATATACGTGTCCCTGTTAATAAAACAACTTGTGGACAACGTTGTCACAGTAGAACGTAAGCTATTGCTGATTGGTATTAAAGTGACATTCGCATGCTGGTTGGCAAAAATGCAATGTTTTGAAAAACAATTACTGCTATGATAAGTCCCGTAGATGGCTAAAGTCTTCCACTATGGCAGATATGCAGTACATCGCAATCAGTTCTGAGCCTAGCATCCTTTCAGTAAATCACTAGAAAGTTGTGTTGATAAATGGTGTGATAAATGGTGTGATAAATTGCATAACAGTGCTATTACGTTGCTAAGATTCTGCTTTGTGAGCTGGGTGATTCATAGGTCTTGTGTCAATTCACGTCATCTTGAACTGTAACCGCACACATACACGCACGTGATGAAATACATTACACTACATGTGTCCCACCTGTATGCTATACAGGGTATGTTACACCTACTGATGCAACATGTATATGTATATGTACAGTACAGTTTGAGCATAGCATAACTATTGGCTACAATAGGTTTCACCTGGTTTGAAGCGAGTTAGCTTGCTTCCCAAAACACTATACAATATATCTAAATTTTTTGATGTGTTTATTTAGCATTATGTCTAAAAGTACATGCAACTTAAGCAAATACCCCTTACTTTAAAAATTATAGATTTTATTAAAGCCAGGCTAGAAATTACATAACATGCTGAATGTAGTCCCATTCAGGCTACACCAAGTACAGGCTAAGATTCAAACCAATGTCGTACGTTTTTATTTTAATTTGTCTTTAATTCATTCATTTTGAATACAAATTTGATTCCATTAGCCTGTCCCAGCTTGACTCTTGACTCAACTTGAATCTGGCAGATTAAAATACAAATCAGCTGAATTATGATGAAAAAAAACAAAAACAGGGAATTACAGGAGAATTACCAATCAAAGTTCAAATCGCAAAATCTCAATTACATCTTTTCACACAAATATTAAATACAGCCACTAGTTAACTGTATCAGATTAATATGAGTTCTTTATATTTATCGCCATTTAAACTTCCAATTGATTCAAAGCTCAGAGAATTTCTGTGGAAAATTACAGACATCAACATGGTACTATGCAAAAGCAAGTCATTGTTAATGACATAGTCCCTGTCATGTTTTTAGTGACTTTGTCAAACAATGAAAAGCATAGTCAGATTATGTTTAAATATTGGGATAGTATTTAGTATATTAAGGCCAGACTTTTTTATTCCTTGTTTCTCAAGTTTTTATAAGGAATTTTTTTGATCAGGGCGGAAAAAATACAAAATTAATTCTTTTTTTCCATTAGATTTGTGTGATTCTCAAAAAATTGCGAGTGAGATCATTGATCGGAAAGAAGAAATGAAATAAAATGTTATTCCATGTATAACCTTGTTTCTCATCTGCGCCAGACTTCGGTACTTTGACTATGATACTCTCACGAAAATGCAGCTTGGATTTCTTATGCGACGGGCGGTAAAAAAATGAAGATAACAAATAATATTTTTTTAGCATTTTTTTTTCGCTTACAAGTTGGCGGGCGCGTGAAATTACG